GTCGTGTAGCTGCAAAGCAGCTGGAAATGCAGAACAAACTTTGGGTCAAAGATGAAAAACTGAAGCAACTGAAGGCCATTGTTACCGAACCGAAAAACGAAAAGCCAGAGAGGCCTTCACGAGAGAGAGACAAGGAGAAGCCTGTTCAGAGAGCAGTGTCTCCTCCACCAGTACCTGTAAGTTGCCTTTAAAACACCTCTTGAGTTAGGGAAAGCATATTTATAAGAATGAACTGAAGTGCAGGCCAATTCTCTTTAGTGGCTAGAAAACAGCTCCCAAGCACAGAGTCTGGATAACTTAAACTTGCTTTAATCTCTTTGTCTCCTGTTGTTTCTATCAGTGCTCTTTATTTGTGCTCCTACCTTCTAATTCTAAGAAACCCAGTTCTTAATGCTGTCACTGCAACACAATGCCTATCCAAAACTGTAAGCTTGAATTGTCGCTCTGCATGTTGTCAGTATTCATTGTTTTATTGCTTTACAAGTTGCCAGTTCTGTATATTCACTAACTTCTTTCCCATTCTCTCTAGTCTTGTAACTTTATTGCTCAGGTCGAGGTCCCTAACAGCCAGCAGCTCGTGAGCAACCCGCAGGCGTGCGGATGTTCTGAGTCTTGTAGCAGCGTTTCTGTGGCATCCTGTGTGATGGAGTGGGAGCAGAAAACCCCTTCGCACAAGCACGCCAGTGGCACTCCTAATGCAAGGAGTAGACAGCAAGAACCAGAACAAAGTAGAGACCGTAAAACCTCAGACAGAAGGCGAGGGATGTGCTGGACTGCAGTCATTGAAGTTCCTGAGCGTAGAGAGGAGCTAGAGATAGAAGAGGATCAATGCTGCAGGGTCAGTGCTGCTGCTGTTTGAAACTAAACGTAGTGTTAGTCTGGCTCTAAAGCTCATTACAGCTGCTCTCATGTTGAGCACACCCAGCACAGACTGGACTTTTCCCCTGAATGTATTTTTCATAGAATAGTTCTGTTTCCAAGTTCAGTCTCACTACTCATCCTATTTTACTTCTTTAACTTTAACTTGACGTTTTGAAATTCCTTAAAAGAGGTCTGTGTGTGTTTTGCTACCACATCGATAGCTCTTGTAAGGAACTCCTAACTACCTAGACCTTGTCTCTAGCTGTGAACGTCCTTGTGTTTTAACTTGTGTCTGTTTCCTCAAATCTATCTTGCAGCCTACAATTTATCATAGTCTGTTGGGGCAGCTTAAAAGGTGGTTTTATGAGCCATATCTGCTGGAAACGGTGCTTGGACAAACATCTCACTTGTCCGCTGTAACTCTTAGAGTAGTCTTCCCTAATTTTCACCTCTGCGTTAAAACTGGAGGCTTTGCTTAAAAGGTGGGAGGCTTTTTTTCCCTCTCATTAACCTGATGCATGCAGATGTTTGTATCAGTGGTGTCTCTGTCCTGTTGTGGCACTGGCGCAGTGGCTCAGGTAAATCAAAGATTGTACAATCCCCACCTCTCAAGAGGAGGCAAGTTTATCCTGATAGGATTCATTTTTGATACATGGCTCAGGTAAATCAAAGATTGTACAATCCCGACCTCTCAAGAGGAGGCAAGTTTGTCCTGATAGGATTCATTTTTGATACTGTTCTCAAAATTTCTGTTACTTGCTGGCTCTTTGAAGCCAGGGTTATTCTTTTAGGGAAATGCTAATCCAATTAACTAGTAATCCCAAACCACTGCCAGCAGAGTAAGGGGATGTGGTCTTTGCTGCAGTAAAAAGTGAGCAGTAGTAGCATACCCACTCCTCGGAGCATAACATCTAAGACTCCTTGGCAAAGTTGTTTTGAAAAAACTTCAATGGAAGAAATTACTTACCCACTAAAAGGGAAAAAAAAACCTATTGACATTCTTTCTTTTATTTAATGGAAGTTTTTTGCTGAAAGAAACACCTATCTACATTTAATTTTTAAGAGCTGCTTTAGACTTGTAAGGGGTTTATCTGTGAAGGGTGCAGCTAATCTTATATCTGTTGGCAAAGAAATCCTAATTGATGCTCATCACCTGGAAACACAGTGGGTGCGGTTTGCACTCGTAGGTTTGGGCTATGTAACCTCACCACGATCCAGAGGTCTCAAACTGGTGTGTAAATGGAACAGAGTCTGCAAATGCTCTTGCGAAAGCCCAGGCAAAGATCTTGAAGGCATCCAGGGTTTTAAACAAGTTTTCAGAATGGTCTGATTTTCCTGAGCAACTGAGAAAAACATTCCTCTTAAAATAAAAAGAGATTGGCTTCAATCATTTCTCATGGGTTTTCCGACAGCTGAGTTCAGAAGTGCTGGCACTAGCACAGGGGATGCTTCCTCTGCTCGATTTAATCAGAAGTGGTACGAGACCTCGCATCCCCTAAAGATGCTGGAAATCCATACTCTGCTTGCTTGCTTTGCTACCTCGAAAATACATTTTGATCCATGAAGGCATCCATGGAATCGTAGATTTCTCTTTTCTGGTTGGTTAATACGTTTGTGGCGATCCGTTTTGGTTTGGAAACCTGGGAGGATCATTACCAAACAGAAGGATGTCCTTCCTGAGGAAACTTTACTAGGAGTGGAATGCAACAGATTGGATAACTCGTAGCTAAAATTTACAAGGAATGGGAATTGGCACAGAAAGAATCCATTAATAATTTTACGCAAGGCTTGTGGTAATGGTGCCTTTCAGTCTGCGCTCTGAAAGCACTTTGGGAGCGAAGCTTTGCTCTCCTTACAAACGCATCTTAACCAGACCTGCAAAGTTCACTTTCTGATGAAACCCTCCAAGATTTCCTGTGTGCTGATTTCTTGTGATTCTCTCCTGCTCTGCTCAGAACACCCCTCTCGTTCGCCTCAGACACAGACGCTCGCGCTCGGCTGGGGAGCGGTGGGTGGACCACAAACCACCCTCCAACCTACCCACCGAAACGGTGATGCAGCCGCACGTCCCGCACGCCATCACGGTGGCGGCTGCGAGCGAAAAGGCCCTGGCTAAGTGTGACAAGTACATGCTGACACACCAGGAGTTGGCCTCTGACGGGGAGATTGAGACAAAACTCATCAAGGTAAAGGCCAACGCCTTCATCGAAACTCTTGATAACCCGGTCCAAACCTACTGCTGGCAACGCCTTTGTGCCGCTGGGCTGCAGAAGGGTGCGTTTGAATCATCTGCTGAGAGATTTGATTGGAAAACTTTGTGCAGCTGGGTTCAAGGGAGCTTTTAGAGCCTGAAAATAACTTTTCTTGAACTTATTACTTCATATAAACCGTTACAAGCTTGTTTATTTTGCTCGTCGTTTTCCTTGAAAGTAATTAAGTTGTTTTTTCCTCTAGTAGAAGGCAG